GCGGGGAGGGAGGGGCCGAGGAGAACCTCTCCTTTGTACAGGGCCTCCACTGCCGAGCAGGTAGGAGCTGCTTTTGTAGTCAGTGTGAGCTGCTGTTTACAGGTGACTTTGACAACAGTGGGTGTGTTCCTAGTGGTGTCTGTGTTTCTGAACTATTTAATTTTGTGTTGTGTTTATATGGTGAAATATTTATGCATACTTTACCAAGTGTCTGTTTAATGTTAATAAATATGACTCTTCAGCCTTCAGCTGTGATGCCTTGAAAGTGGCTCTCCAAAGCCCACTTGAGCAATGAGTGGAGCACATTAAGTTTCACGTGGCCAAGAAGAAAAATGCCATTCTATGGGTGTTAGCAGATCCTAACTCACTCTAGGTAATAAAAGTCCACTGTAACTTCAACATGAATGTTTAAAACCACTCTCTAGTTAAACTTGACCAGGACTGGACAAAGCACTCTCCACCATTGTGTTTAGAAATCGCATGCAAGGGGGGGAAAGCAAATCAGTGTAATTGAAAGATTCTTTTTTTTTTTGCCCACATTTAACCAAAGAACAAGAAAAAACAGAAACTGTTTTCTAACATGTAGAGCAAACTGCAGAATTTCACGCTATCCACCTGTGAGCCGTCTCAGAGCAACTGCATCTGTACTGAAATATCCAAGTCTGCCTGGTGCTAATAAATATGTGAACACTGGTCCAAGTCTCCCTGTTCTTCAGTAATTCCCATCATTTTTGAAACTTTGAAACCGCCTTTCCTTCAAATGGCTGTTTCTTGTATTTAAAACAAGATCAGCGATGAGAGGATTAAATTTAAGAAATGGAGACACCCTGAGCTTTGGAAGAGCTGCAAAGGCTAATAACAATTCTTTTTTAAAAGTATGTTTTTATTGATTTTAGAGAGAGAGGAAGTGGGGAGAGAGAGAAAGACATCCTTAAGAGAGAGAAACATCAACCGGCCGCCCCCTGCAGGCCCCTAACTGAGGATCAAGCCCACAGCCCAGGCACGTGCCCTGACCAGGAATCGAACCTACAGCCTCCTGGTGCACGGATGAAGCTCAACCACTGAGCAACACCGGCCAGGACTAGCAACAATTCTTACACATGGTTATCTCCTGACCCGTGTCCTATTATGAGGCTGACAATAGCAGAAAAGAAACAATTCCAAGACTCTAGCCCTCCTTTTCTGTTACTGGCTTAATGAAATCATTGTTTTCACATCTTTTATGGATGAAAGCCTTAAAATGCTACTGACTGTGCTTATAGAAAGGTATGTCCAACTTTAGGTCATTTACAGAGAAGGAAGGTAAGAAGAACACATTATTTTGACTATGGACAATTTACAAGGGAAATCAAAGATGCAGCAAGTGTTTGTAACTGGAGGTAGTTGCACCTGCGTCTCCCAAAGGGCTGTCATTAGAGAAGGCGTTCGGCATTTACAAAAGATCGAAAAGTCTTCATCCCCAAGTGGGAAGTCACACTACTTTATTCCATATGAATTAGGTTTGCAGAGCTTTCGTGATTACTCACTTTAATAAAAAGGGGAAAATACTCAAACCTAAAATAAACTACACAGGAACACCCCCTCAACATACACACACACACACACACTTTTCCATTCTCTGTTCTCCAGCCCTTGTCAGAGGCACCTGCTGTCCGGGCCTCTATTTCCCTTGGCTCTTCTCTCCTTTCCACCCCTACCTGTGGTCTCTCTGCTAGTCCTGCATATGATCCTGAATCACCCTTGCCTTAAATCCAGCCTTGACTCTAATTATATTTCTGTTCCCTCTTTCATGTATAACAGTTCTGGACCCTGACAGAAAGAAAACAAAGGAGAAAGCATAAGCTTAGAAGCTGCAGTGGGTGAAGATCTGGAAGGCAGACCCACTTCTCTGTCAACCCTCCTGTGGGGCAGAGGCAAGCTCATTGCCCTGGAGGGACTGGAGCCCTTTGTGTGCTCCAGGTTGTGAGGAGCAGGGGGCAGAGCCCTGACACAACAGTGGCTGCATCAGGGTGGAAGAAGGAAGCCAAGGTTCAGGCGGGGAGAAATCAGATGTAGACAATGGTGAGAGAGATGGAGCCTGGGCATCCCCCCGTGGTCCTGTACTTATGTGAGTAGAAATCATTCTCAGGTGGGGACACAACACTGAGAACTGGACTGTCCACAGCAGCCTCAGAGGACAGTATCACAAAGAAGCTCTGAACCTAGGAGGACGAGCCCTGAGTTCCTGGCCCAGGTCTGTCACCAGCAGTCACACATCCTCTGCCACGCATGTCATTTGCCTTTAAACTCTCTGGGTTGTTTCCTTGTGCTTAAATTAAGCAAGAACACTAAAGCATCACTAATTTGACTTCTGGTAGTAAACGGGTCAAAACTGAGGCATGGTGTTAGGTAAGTAATTACAGTGATGAATGTAAAATGGGATATCTGATGAAAACTTGAAATTTTCTGATTTTATGAAATCATGTGTCACTTAACACTGAAGTTTCATTCTGGGGAATGTGTCACTGGGTGATTTTATTGCTGTGTGAACATCACAGAGTGCACTCACGCACACCCAGATGGTGCAGCCCGGGCCACCTGGGCCATGGGGCGCAGTCTGCGCTCCCGGGCTACAGGCCTGCACAGCGTGGTGCTGCACTGACCACGGTAGGCGATTATAGCACAATGGTAAGTATTTATGTATAAAAACATATCTAAACAAAGAAAGGCTACAGTGGATGGCACTGGGATATCATCGGTGCACTCAAAATTGAGGTGCCGTGAGAGAGAATCTATTGCCAAGCCCACAGATATGCTCCCATCAGAGGAAAAAAATTCCCAGGAACCACAAATGTTTCCATTTGTAACTGGAACTTCAGCTCCATTGTAATCTCATGGGACTATAATCATAGATGCAGCCTGTCGTTCACATTGTTTGTGGTCTGTGACTATATCCATTGGAATCATTCACTTATTATAGTTCAATACAACAAAATCTAAGGAGCTCTCATATTCTGTTGGTAAACCTGGAATTGCATTGTTTAAAATGCCACTTCAGGCTGGGGCCATCTGGGGGCTGCCACCCTAGCCGAGTCCCTGGGTAGTTGGGGTTTGTTTTGGTTTTGCAATCTCCTGTCTCATGATGGAACCGAAACTATGGAATGCAGCACCCAAGGCAGTTGTCCTTTTTCAACCTCACAACCCACCTTCTGTCACCCCCTAGAAAGGAGTGTTTTTCTCAAATATAAAGTGCAACAAACATGGTTTGGTCAGTAGTGTAAGCTACAGCCTATAACAGGTTCAAGGGCAATTTTACTACTTCCCTTCATAGGGTTAAGTTGTGCTCCCTCCCTTGCGTTCTCATGACACTACCTGTAGTTACTCAGCCTCTTCCACGGTTAATGCTGGGTGAGTAAGTGCTCCAAACCCAAGGGGCTGGTTCAGGGGCAGGAATCCCCACGCTCTTTAGAACTGGGGAGTCCAGTTTTTTTTCCTGGACATTTAG